TTTAAGGACAATTTCTGTGTGTCCGTGCTTGCCTTGACGGATGCTTCCTCTTCCAAGGAAGACATCCCTTCAATTGTAGCGCTGATTTCAGTGGAAATCTTCTCAGTCTCCTGAGAAAAGTGTTTTTCCACCTCATCATGGCTATCATGTGGCAAGTCTTTAATAAGGGGGTTAGTGAGCACATCAGTCGCCGTCCTTGTTATGTTCTGGACAGCTTGAGATGTGTTCGAACTGGAGCTGTCCTGTGAACCTAAGTTGACAGGACGGCTCGTCGGCTCGTCAGCGTTTGACGGTTGTCTGTGGGGAAGGACTTTGGCTTTAAAAGTCTGTAGCATTTTACAGAAAAAGACAACCATGCTGTTCAGCCGTTCAGGTTGAACACAGTGCTGCTCTGCCAAACTGGAAGTGGGAGACGTCAAACTTTCCATCACTTCTTTGGCAACGAGGTCAGTCAGCTGCTCTGAACAACTGACAACTTCGTTGGCAGCATGAAAAGCCTCAGTGAAACTCTGAGGAAGTGCTTCGGCTACAGCGGCCGGAACACTTGCCTCAAGTGATTCACACTCAGAGTCTTGAAGACACTGTGAGATCGCATCTACGCACACGTAGACGATCTCTAGCAGTAGCTCCGCTATAAGGGCTCTGGTCCCAAAATCGGGGGAGCCCATCTTTAGCATGGTCCACTGCTGACATGTCAGAGTCCCAAAGAAGGACTCAATAAGCGGGCGGAATCTATCTGCTGAGAGCCCCATAATGCCTGCCATACTTGTTTTCGTCTGGTCTTCTTGCATGTTTTTCTCCATGGTGGCTGTTCGGTGAATTCAGTACTTCTTTTCTCTTAGGATTAGTCAATAGCACTCTGGAATACATATATATATAAGAAACTGGTCGGGAAATGGCGTCAGCTGTGACGTCATACATCAGGCGCCTTTGACGCAAAGGCATAGCCACGCATGCGCAAAACACTACACATCGATTCAACGTGCGTGAATCAAAAATAAATAAAAAACTAAAAATATGGATTCAACCTAATAAATAAATAAACAAATAAACTCCAAACACGGATTCAACCTGCGTTAATAACAAATAAACTACAAACATGGAGTCAGCACGTGTGTGTCTGTTACATTAGGAGATGTATAACTCGAACAGCGCCGCAGTAAAGCTGCTTTCTTCAAACAAGCGGAGACACAATAAACGCGAGATTTTAACAACCCGAGGATAGAAATTGGAACAATTGGAACAGATTGAGTTTCCAGAGGCGCAAAGATGACACGCAAATTCGTGAAGCGTTCCTCATTTTACTTCAAAATATCACTTAAAAAAAAATAAAAAATAAAAATAAAATCATTTTTAATGTAATTTTATTAATTTCTCTGCTTTTGGGTGAAACAGAGAGGAGGAACTACAGCGGAGCGGCGCATGCGCACTACGGCACCACCGCTTCACTGACTGCTCGCTTTTAACAAACGATAGAAGAAGAAAGCCGGAAGTAGCGCTCTCCGCATGGCGCTATTTGAAAACTGATTTATCCTTAAATTTACATCTCCAACTGTTTAAAATTTTGAATTTATTGGCTGCTTCTTTACCGGGACACGGGTACGTATATTTAGCAGCATGCACATTTTAGCTGAGCGCAGTAAGCGAGCGTTAGCGAACCTCTAAACAACAACGTAACTCAAACGTCGCTTACGAGCCATTCATTTCTGTTAGCTAGTTAGCCGGCTAGCATGCTAGTTGTTACTAGCTAATAATATTGCCATCTCAAGAAGAGATGGTAATGCAAAACTTTCCAGTCAAGCCGAGTTTTAAACGCGGATTTTTTTTTCGAGGCAAAGCATCTATAAGCTAAATGTGAAACATGATCGTACATGCTGTGCTACATGCTTAGCATTAGCTCGACTGGTAACTGGTGGTCTTATTTATTAGCTAATGACAGTTAACAGCGCATTTATTTTGCAAGAAATTTTTATATTTTATAAAGAGACGTGAACATGAGGGAAGTTGTTGGTTAATATTTATTCACTGCAACATTTTACACCTTTGGCAAGTTTCTGAAAACTGCTGGTGGCTAACGTAAACAGTGAAACCGCACTGGAAACGGATAATGTGACATTTTGCTTCCATATTAGAAAAAAAAGATAAATGGGCTGTTTTATCTTCATTCAAGTTTCAGCTGAAATGCTGTCATGTATTTGCTGCATAAATACACCCATGTGCATTATCACTTTAATGTCTTAAATTTGCATCACCTTACCTTATAGTCCTTCTCTGCCAAGCTTCTGCAGGCTGCTTTTGAATCCTTTGACATTTCAGTGATGCACTCACATCTGTTGTATGCTGTATATTGCCATTATTGACAGATGACACTGATTATCATGTATTTACTCTGAAATTCATGACACTTCATTCAGATCTGTCAGAGATGGAGGCTGATCTGTATGATGAGTTTGGAAACTACATCGGTCCAGAGCTGGACTCTGATGATGACGACGATGATCTGGATGCGGAGGACAGAGATGTTGACGAGGTACTCTTCGAGTCAGATATTCTTACCTTGTAGCACTTTGGTTTGTTTCTGCAGCCTGTGCACTTATGTCACGGTGTTTCCCTTGTGCAGGGTGATGAAGACGATGATGACGAGCCTGCTGATGCTGATGACGACGTGCCGGGCATGGAGGTGGTCCTGCACGAGGACAAGAAGTACTATCCTACAGCAGAAGAGGTTTATGGGCCTGAGGTGGAAACTATCGTCCAGGAGGAAGACACACAACCTCTTACAGGTTAGAGACATACAGAAAAAAGGTGGATTTTAGGGTTGAACAATTTCTTGATTTCAAATTGAAGCTTGCGTTTGAAAAAATGCAATTATTGGATTGCAAAAGCTGCAGTGCATAAATGTGCTATGTAGTGCATCTGACTTAGAGTTTCGAATGGTATGTCAGAGGCATACAAATTTATGCGGTTCTCCTTAGGCAGCAGTCACCATTTAGATAGTGTCTCAAGTGATAATGCTCCTTCACATGTTTGAAATTTATTACACAGTGATTATGGAACTGAATTATTTTGCATATTAAATTGCAATATCTGTCAGAAAATGTGCAATCATATATTTTCCTTCATTCAGCCCTAATGGATTTGCAAATTTACAGTGAAGGACACTATGTTTAGTTTTAGTAAACTGAAGCAAAAATATGCTGCAAGTATGCAGAAAGGCCTGTACTTGTAAGCACAGTTTACTATTTTGATGTCTTGCATCTAGTCGTTAAACTTTCAAAGAAAATAAAAAAGTGCATGTTTTTGCATTTAGTTTTTTCAGTAAGAAGAAGGTGGGGTAGTTGTGATTCTAGTCATTTCTAACCAAGCAATTGTACTTTTTTATGTCAAAACTATATTACAAGGCAAGTTATTATTTACGCACGTTGTCATAGATTTCCTCCAGTTAAAAAAAAAATAAAAAAATTCTTACCTTGTTTACGTATCTTTATGGATTTATTCCACCTCAAATCAAAAGATCCCCTCTGCTCGACCATCTGTGATTTGCTTGAAACCTTTTTATTATAAAAAAGTGTAAAATTTTTGCTTAACAATTGTTGATGACCCGCTTTCAGTTCTCTTTTTCACACTCTGAAATTTGAAGCTGTGTTTAAATGACAATTTCTCCAAAATTATTAAAGATGGTGACCTGGAAATTTCCCTATTATTTCTTATCATGCCATTGATTCAGAATCTGCAATTTTGGACAAATAAAATAATCAAAATATCTACATTTGTACCTTTGAGATGAGTTTTTAGTCTTTAAACCAACAACCCAAGAGAAATCTTTTGAGTGTGCCTTTTTTAGTAGTTAGTTGCTCTTTGAGTTATCACATAAAAACTTGCATTTTCTCTCTACTCTTTCTAGAGCCCATCATCAAGCCCGTGAAGAACAGACAGTTCACCCTGATGGAACAAGAGCTACCTGCCACTGTCTACGATATGGAGTAAGTCATCTATGTAGTTTCCAGTTTATGTGGATCAGTGTTCAAATGTGAGGATGCCAGTGTTGAACGTGAATGCACCAGACTGTTGTGTTTTTCAGTACACATCTGTTGTTTCCATACATTTCCTGTTTGTTTTTTCAAGTTGTGACATTCCTCCTCTCTCTGTCTTGCCAGATTTCTTGCAGATCTGATGGACGGTCCAGAGCTGATCCGTAACGTCACCCTCTGTGGTCACCTCCATCACGGCAAGGTTAGAGCTCGCCTTATGGCTGCCTCTGGCTCAGTCTGTTTTAACTGTGTGTTCCTCGTCTGGGTTCTCCTCCGGCATGCCAAGGAGAACATGTGTCCCTAAGATAAAAAATGTAGGAGGATGGGAATGTTTTGGAGCATATGCTAATAACATGGCTGCACTTTAGATGCATCTGTGGCTAATGGGAATCTAATGAAGGTGTTTTTTTTCCCGTTCAGACCTGTTTTGTGGATTGCCTGATCGAACAGACGCATCCAGAAATCAGGAAGAGAGATGATGTGGATGTGAGTCTTCTCCACAGGAACTCAACACTTTTGCATTTCATTTAAATTATATACATGACACCAGAGACTGATGTGATTTTTGATTTTTTTCAGCTCCGATACACAGACATCCTCTTCACAGAGCAGGAGGTGAGTGGTTCATTTGAACTGTGATGCATTTTAACACAACAGTGAGTCCTAAAAATGACCTGTGAATAGTCATAGTAGAATACAGTTTTAACTACATACATACATGCATATAGAAGATGATGAAGAATCAGGATTTTATGCTTAGATTTGGGTGATTTTTCCAAATGGAGCTGCACGTCTCGTAATTAGTTAAAGAGACATCTGAAAGGTGAAAATGCTATTATTCATTCTGTTGAGATTCTGGCTCTAGTAAATGGTGCAATTTTAGTGATATTAAAGATAACATGCCCTTTAAACCCACCAGCAGGTGTTGGGGTTCAGCGGGTTAAAGAAGGCATATAACAGCACTGTGGCTCCAGAAATTCTTCTTTAAATTGTATAATTATATTTCCTGTCTTATGTATTTTTCATAGAGAGGAGTTGGCATCAAAAGTACCCCTGTGACAATGGTTCTTCCTGACTCCAGAGGAAAGTCCTACCTGTTCAACATCATGGACACCCCAGGTATTGCATTTCAACTGGATGATTTATTTGCAGAGCGCACATTTTGACAAAACTTGTTTAAAAGTGATGTAAAATTTTGTTTGTCCCTCAAAGGCCACGTGAACTTCTCTGACGAGGTCACATCAAGCATCCGGATCTCAGACGGCGTCGTCCTCTTCATAGATGCAGCAGAAGGAGTGAGTCACCTTCTTTTTTTTTTTTTCTGTTGTTTTCTCAAACCGTCAGTTTCTTTCCACCTACATCAATTCTCTTCAACCGTCCGTATAACCTCGACCTTTGTGTGTCTCTGTCCAGGTGATGCTGAACACAGAGCGTCTGATCAAACATGCGGTTCAGGAGCGTATGGCCATCACCATCTGCATCAACAAGGTGGATCGGCTCATCGTGGAGCTCAAACTGCCTCCCACAGATGCTTATTATAAACTTCGACACATCGTGGATGAGGTCAATGGTTTGCTCAGGTAATTCTGGAAAACTGTCACATTCACTAGATGACCTGAAGGGTTTCATGTAATATTGTACACTTCATTTTTGTGGGGAAAAAACAAACACTTGACTTGCTTGGTGATTTTATATTGGTAGATACCTGTGAGTAATTTAGAACATGTTTGTTGTCAGTTGAGGAAAATGGTTACAGGAATAACAGGAATTGTAAAAATGGGAGCCACTTTCAACTTGACACACCACTGACTGATTGACTGTTGTCAAAACACACAAACAAACCCTCTGAATGGTAATTTCTCTTCCTTTTCAGCACATATTCCACAGATGAGAACCTGGTGGTGTCTCCTCTTCTTGGGAACGTTTGCTTCGCCAGCTCTCAGTACAGCATCTGCTTCACCCTGGGATCCTTCGCAAAGATCTACTCAGACACCTACGGTAAGATGATTTTTCAGTGTCCATTGGAGCTGCAACAGTTAATTGATTAGTTGTCAGCTATTAAATTAACCTTCTGAACTAGAAAACCTGCAGGGAACTTTGACAGGCATCTTATTTTCAAAACAAATCACCAGAGTTACATCATTTATCAGAGCTAGAGGCTGTAAAAACAGAATTGTTGAATTTGGTCCTTGAACTCAAAATCATCATATTTCATTGAAGTCACTTTATTCTACATGTTTTATTTGACGAATGTGGCAAAAGTTAATCATTTGTGACAATCAGATTCTGTAAAAACCTGTAGATTCTTTGCTTCTTGGCGAAAACACAAAGCCACAATTCACTCAGCTGCATCCAACAGTCACATGACTAAAATTCCTTGACGGTTTGCCTTAACTGCAGGCTGTGTTTACACCGAGCACGTGCAAAGAACACCTGTTGACATTTGGAAAAATGTTGAACATGTTGATTCCAGGTTTTATTTTTTTTTTCAGTTTTTAGAAAACTAATATTCAAAGAATTTTGAACCTTCATTTTTTAGTGCTTTATACCATTATAACTGTGTCATGCTGCACAGAAGACATTTCTGAATTCTCTCTCCTTCCTCATGGTTGTTCTGGACTTTATGCTGCCGGGAAAAATTCAGCCCAAAGTGAGGAAAAATGCAACAGGAGCAAAAATGCTTGATGTTCAGAGGGTTAATCACTATTTTCATAATTGATAGGCCACAAATCTCTGAGTGTAGCTTCTGAAATGTCACTATTTTCTGTTGTCTTTCCTCTTCTAGTACAATAAACTGAATATGTTTTGGTTTTTGACTAAATAAGATATTTGTTATCTTGGGCTTTGACATTTTTCACCAGTTTCTGACATTTCATAGACCAAACAATAAACTGATTTATCAACAAGGATTAATATATTTGTTAGCTGCAGCCTTCATATACAATCATTTGCTTTCTTTCATGCATTGTGCAGATTGTACTTTTTAGCTTCCTGCTTTCTCTGTGTTTCCAGGTGACATCAACTACAATGAGTTTGCCAAGAGGCTCTGGGGAGACATTTATTTCAACCCCAAAACGTGAGTAACTAATCTGGATTTCAACACAGGTAAAGCAGCATCTTTTAACACTTATTTATTAAGTGATTTTCTTTTCTTCTCTGTTCAGTCGCAAGTTCACAAAGAAAGCTCCCAGTAGCAACTCTCAGCGCAGCTTTGTGGAATTTGTCCTGGAGCCTCTCTACAAGATCCTCTCACAGGTTGGACGACGCTGTTTTTTAAAAAAAAAAAAAAAATGTTGGCAACACATCCAGCTCAATACTTTCTGCCTCCAACAGGCTTAGGCTAAACTTGCACAAAGCCCAGTGTGTAATCCTCACACAAATCCCGTTTGTGTTTAGGTGGTCGGGGATGTGGACACGTCTCTCCCCCGAGTTTTGGATGAGCTGGGAATCCACCTGACGAAGGAGGAACTGAAGCTCAACATCAGGCCCCTGCTGAGGCTGGTCTGCAACCGCTTCTTTGGAGAGTTTACTGGTATAACCTAAGTTTTTTTAAAATCTTTATCATTGTGTTACAATTTTAGCATTTCAGTTATTATACTTCAAACACTTCAAAACATTTTTAGCACAAGTCCTATTTAAGTAAAGAAATGTTAAATGCTAAACCTGTGTTCCTTACTTGCTCAAGAGTGTCAATCTGGAAATAAATAGTCATGCTTTCATTAATTTATTCTACATCATATATCAACCCTGGATGTTCTCCCTGCAGGTTTTGTGGACATGTGTGTGCAGCACATCCCCTCACCACAAGAGGGCGCTAGGAACAAGATAGAGCACACGTACACTGGCGGAATGGACTCGGATTTGGGAGAAGCCATGGCAGAGTGTGATCCTGATGTGAGTATAAAGGAAGTGTAAAAAGATAACGATGAGATACAAGAGTTAACTGCAAAACTTGGAATCAACATGTGCAACACTTCTAAGCAGCCACAGGTGTTACCAAGACTAGAATTTATTTATTTATTTATTTTTAATGAAATATCATGATTTTAGGCTTGCATTCAGTCTTTTTCCAGATGACATTCACACATAAATAGCTCAAGGACTGTCAAGAAGTTAAAAATCAACATTTGCTTTTGTTTTTACAGTGTCCAGCTTTGATAAATGGTTTAATTTAGGTGATTTTTAGATTAATATAGTATACCTTTCAAACCTATCAGTGGGTTTTAGGGTTCAGATATTAAAGTAAGGCTCTTCTTTGCCTGAATTCAGTGCATTTTCTGGAGACAACTGTAAATAAATAAATAAAAATAAAATGGTACCTAAAATGCCTTGCCTGCTAGACCTTGCCCAACAGAGAAACTAGCTAGTCGGCTGTGCACAGAGAAGCCTCTAGTCTCCGCTCAGTTACTGCAGCAGCTCAGACAACTATGACACCAAAATTGCTTTTAATAGACTGAAATAAAGCTCTTTGATGTCATATTTACCCGATTTTAAACAAGTAATTTTATCTACAGGGGATGTTCTCTGTGAGTGGAGCTTTTTAAACCTTAAAGTTGTAGTCAATCATGTTCATAAATTGTTGGGGGCCAAGATTGCTAGTATTTGATTATTTGTGCAGCCCTGTTTTCCAGTGAAAAGTCGTTCCTTCTGTTCCCTTATCGTTTGCCTTCCCTTCACGTCTCTCTCCTACAGGGTCCTTTAATGTGCCACACCACGAAGATGTACAGCACAGAGGACGGGGTCCAGTTCCACGCGTTCGGCCGGGTTCTGAGCGGAACCATTCAGGCAGGTCAACCCGTGAAGGTTTTAGGAGAAAACTACACTCTGGAAGATGAGGAGGACTCCCAGGTCTGCACTGTGGGCCGCCTCTGGATCTCTGTCGCCAGGTTTGTTTCTGAGATTGGTCTTATTACGTTTGCGGCTTTAGAAATCATCGGGTCAGATATTGCAACTCCTTCCACTGCTTCAGATACCAGATTGAAGTGAATCGAGTGCCTGCTGGTAACTGGGTCCTCATCGAGGGTTGTGACCAGCCCATCGTCAAGACCGCCACGATCACGGAGCCCAGAGGGAACGAAGAGGTGAGAGATTATTGAAAAGTACGTATGAGATGATTAATGATGCCATATGAGGCAAATCAACATTTTTCACTCTCTCTGCCAGGCTCAAATTTTCAGGCCGCTGAAGTTCAACACCGCATCGGTTATCAAGATCGCAGTGGAGCCGGTGAACCCATCAGAGCTGCCGAAGATGTTGGACGGACTGAGGAAGGTCAACAAGAGCTACCCTTCTCTCACCACAAAGGTACGGCACTCTTGAAGTACAGCAGAGACGTTGTTTTAGCCTGAGCCTCTAAGTTTTGCAAAGATTTCTGTTTTTGTTTCCACCAAGTGAAAAGTAAAACCACCGTTACAACAGACTATTATCTACACAACAGTTAGGTTGTTATTAAATGGCTAAATATTCACAGACTTTTTGTGTTTGTCTTTCAGGTGGAAGAGTCCGGAGAACACGTTATCTTAGGGACAGGAGAGCTGTACCTGGACTGTGTCATGCACGACTTGCGGAAGATGTACTCTGAGATCGACATTAAAGTAATTTTTCGCGTTATATAACTACGTCCGCGCTTCTTCCAGTGAAAACATTAAGAACAATAAGAGCTAGTAAAACATTCATCTAGGGCTGGGTGATAAAACTGAGATATGTACCATGACAAAACGTTTCTTCTCTGTCGATATTGATCATTCTTGATGATTTTTAACCTTTAAACTGATTGGAATTTTACCACTTTAGACTACTTAGCAAAAGTACAAACACAAAAATAGATAGAAATGTGCCTTCAAATTGGCTTGCATCTCATTTATTTAAGTACATTCTATTGATTAAGTGTCTAAATGATCAGATCTCTATCATTTATCACCCAGATTTAATCAGTATTATAAGGTTATATCATTCCTGCAGTGTGGCTGAAAGTTGATGAACAGTAAAATGTGATTATTGCACAGTTGTAGTTGTAGCTTCAGCCTTGTGAAATGGAAGAAGTACAAAGAAATGAAATTCACCAGTAGTATGCTACCTCCTTTTACTCTCCAAATGAACACTGTGTACTGGATATGAAGGGTTCTTTGTTTCCTAAAAATCTTCATTTGCTTTCTCAATAGAAAAAAAATCACACAGGAGTAAAGTTTTTGCTGTCTTTTTGTAATTTTGCTCGTCTTGTCTCTCAGGTCGCTGACCCCGTGGTGACTTTCTGTGAAACAGTTGTGGAGACGTCATCGCTCAAGTGCTTTGCTGAGACGCCAAACAAAAAGTTTGTAATAAATCTCAAATCTTTCCTTCTCACTCAAACATACAGTGACTGAAGTGCAATTTGGTGAAAGCTAGGTTATTGTTATAGCTCAAAAAATCACGTCTCTGTCAGTGATTTTTCTCCTAAAGCCTCTCATTTCTGACACGAGTTGTTATTTGGGTCGTTCGTTTGCAGTGTTTGATGTGGAGGAGTTAAATTTGTGTGCTGTTTGGAGTCTGTGTCAGAGTCAGTCCTTCCCTTCGGCTCAGTGTCTCCCCGGTCCAGGACGAGTGATTGACAGCTGTGTGATGTGATTGACAGGAATAAGATCACCATGATCGCCGAGCCCCTGGAGAAAGGGCTGGCTGAGGACATCGAGAACGAAGTGGTGCAGATCACATGGAACAGGTATGATCCCCATAATCACCACCTCCTAATTAACTGAAGTGACGCGATGTGCTTCTTATGTTAGATTTTCCCTCTAGAGCGGCAGTAGGCTCATTAATTTCTCCATTTTCCAGCGCCATCCCGACCGATCATTCGTTCTCATTTATCCTTTAGCGGAGACAAATGAGCAGACACCTCAGACTGATGATTGGTTCTTTAATTAAATGCTGTCATGGAAGAAGGTGGAGGTATATAGAAACGCTTGGGGCTGAAAAAGTCATTTAAAAAGTGCACTTATTGGATGCGCAACATTGCTCTTAAGTCCACACATGTGATACTTACTTTTATTATAAGTTATCATGAGTAGCCGTAGTAGAGGTGTGCACTTCTGATGAGCTCCTTCGAGACACGTCTTTATTAGTCTGACGGCATCGGAACGTGTCAGCTTCATGTCTGAATGAGCACCATGGAAGCTTTTAGCACAAGTCACATTAACAGTCTCACTAGACTTTACTTGATAACATTTTAGGGCATTATATGCAGTCACATTAACAGATTGATACGTACAAGTGATGGAACTTATGTGAAGCGTTTGGGGAAATATTGATCCAAAAACATCACATAGAGCATAGAAGGTACTCTTCTCATTCACTTTGTCCTATAATTTCACTTCCATTACAAAACTTTTACTACAATGAGGACAGATTCTGCAACAGGTCAAATGAACAAGACCATAATTAATGTAATCCAGGTTTAGCTTAAGTTTGGTTTGTTGCTTCCAGCTGTTTGTAGAAGTTTTTTCTCTGAGTTTATTAAATGCATGCAGCATCAGACAGCAGCAGGATCCTTCTACAGTCGTCCTCAAAGGTATTCATAACCTTACATTGAAGAAAAGGCAAAATTCATAATCGTCACTCAAATAACTAGAAACTGAAAAAAGTAGTAATAAATAAAAATTTGCTAAATAAGAATTTAGTGAAATAAGGCATTGCTTTTGAATTGTGGTTGAAAAGAATAATTTAAAAAAAACAAACAAAAGTGTCCTGGACAAATTAGAGCACTTTGCTGATGAGCAGTGAAATCAAAATACCTGTCAACAGGTGCAGGAGTCTGACTGAGAGTTGCAGAAAACACTTGATTGTAGTGATTGGCTCAAAGGGTTGGTCAACAAAATATTAGTTTATGGGTCCCATCATGCTTGTTTGTTTGTTTGTTTGTTGTTTTTAAAAAATATATATTTCTGTTGAACCACAATTCAAAAGCAGTGTCATGATTTTCATTAAATTTTTATTCATTATTACTTTTGTCAATTTCAGCGTATTTCAGTGACAGCTGTTTTTTTCCTTCTTTAATGGGAGGCTATGAATACATTTGAGCACGACTGTGAGTGTAAATCAACAGCAATAACTATATTCATTACTTATAATTTACAATGATCTCCAATATGGAGACAGGATGAATCAGGGTTTAGCAGCACTGTGCTCTGTTCTTCACCTTAGACAGTTGAGCTGTGACACTCGGTTTCAGTGTATCAGCTGCAGCTAAACCACTGCGTACATGCTTACGTCCTCAGGTTGAGTCCTGAGCTCCATCACAGCTGTCAGGATATTATTATTTTATTTGTACTCGTTAGTTTATCATCACACCTATTTTTAGTGTTTAGGGTAAATATAGTAGGCTATTCGTTATTTGGACATTTTGCTAAGCTACTTTGAGTTTAGATGTAGTCTTTGATTTATCAGTGCGTTATGTATTATACATGACTTGATCACTGTCATCACTGTCCAGTGTTGCGTGACGTGGTCCTCTGCAGTCATGGGCATGTTTGACAGAATCTGCGAGGAACATTCAAGTGACCTCTGTGTGAATGACAGACTGCCGTCACCTCAACAGACCGATGAAGCAGCAATCTTGCGTATCTCATATCTGAAAAGGGCTATTTTTAAGTCTGACAAGGATGCGACGGCGATGTGCTGCACTTTGACAGCAGTGTTTAAATTGTTTGGGTCACACACACAGTCAAGGTTTGGAAAAATAAACTGCACAACAATGTGGTAATAAGTTGAAAAAGAGTGACGTATTCAGAGTGGCGGTTACCATGCATTCCAGCTGCACGTCATTCTTTATCATAGTATTAAAGACTCTTGGGTGTAAGAAATGCCAAACTTTAAAAGCGCTATTTATTACTAAAGTCTTTCAAATTAAAATGTAAATATATGCATTAAATATTTAAGCAGAGTGAAGGACAGCCTTTAGTGCATTGCAAAAAGTATGTCCTCATTAAAAATATTCCTCCTTGGTATATTGATCAGCTCACTCCCGGTAATTGAATCATGCACTAAAAGCATGCGTGAATTTCCCCTCCGAGATGAGGAGCATGCATGAGCGTGCATGAGCGTGCATTCTGCTCGAGCGAGACTTCCTGTCAGTCCTCTGCTCATCTGCGAGGCCATCTGGACCCAGCGGTGCCAGCAAGGAGTCGCAGTGCCAGAGGAGTGACATACTTCACACACCATTATACTAAACCCTGGTTCTCCTGCGTCTCTTCCATTAACCCCTCTGCCCTTGCAATCAGCCAATCTCCTTAATGTTCCAGCTGACATGAGCAAACTTCCTCTCAACCGGCGGCCCTTCTGATTTCTCGTGACAGGAAGAAGCTGGGAGAGTTTTTCCAGACCAAGTACGACTGGGATCTGCTGGCTGCCAGGTCCATCTGGGCCTTCGGACCGGACACAACGGGACCGAACATTCTTGTGGACGACACGCTGCCTTCTGAGGTGAGTTTTTAAACAGCAAGGCAGGTGAATCGCAGCAAAACAGGTGTGGTCTGGAGAATGTTTATTAATTTATGATTAACATTATTTAATATAGCTTTCTGTATACGTAGGGCTGGTTAATTTTGCAATTCTTAATTTTAATTAAATCATTTTGAATGGCCCCTAGGGGATAAATACAGTTATTTGAATTTGAATCTGAATAATATAACAGAAAGGTTTGTCACAATACAAACTGAATTTTTAATCTTTACGTTGACTATTTTTCATAAGGACATAAAAGAAAAAGATTTAATTTAAATGTATTGTATTTATCAAGATACACAGCTAATAACTTTGATGTTCACACAAAAAAACATACTAAATACCTTTACCATGTAAATGATGATGAGTAGGGATGAATGAATAATCTGACCTTGTTGCACATTAATCCTCTGAATCCCAGAACTTGCTGGTGCATTTGAACGGCATGTTGTTTTTCTAAAGTTGTCAAAATCCCACCATTTATCACGGCTAGAAAATGTCAAAACAGCGAAGAAACTGTGTGATATTTTTCCCTCTGTTTTACTCTTTTCATTTGTTATGTGGTGTTTTTTTTTCTGTTTGAACAATATCTTTGCTTTTTGTCTCTTTTTTTTTTATTTTTCATTTTTCATTTTGACCTGTGTCAGCAGTTTGTACAAGTTTCTCACACAAAATCTAAAATTGTGACAAATTTTCAGGCACTATTTGACTGAACTACAGGCTGTGTTTACACAAAGCGTAAAGAAGACAGCTATGGAAACAATTTGAAATTATGAGTCAAGCCACCATGTTTGTTTAGTATTCAACACCTGTGGGCATTTGAGGAAATGTTTTGTCATTTTCAGGTTGTTGTTTTTTTTCAATATTCACAACATAAATAATTAAAGAAATTCAACCGAATCCTGACGCTAAGTCATATTTCATCAAACTCACTTTATTCTACATGTTACATTTAAAGATTTAGCAAGAACAAACTGTTTGCAATAACAAGATTCTGTTAAAAAAAACAAAACAAAAAAAACAACAACAACTAAAGTGTCTTTAGTCCTTGGCGCAAACACGAAGCCATGAATCAGTCAGCTGTAACAAACAGTCACGTGACTAAAATTCAGCGACTGTTGGCAGAACTAGCCTGAACTACAGGCTGTGTTTACAGAGAGCTGGTAGACAAATTTAAAATATACGTAGTCAGATATATTTAGTATATGGAGTCATTTTTACTAGTGTTGGTAACTTGGAAAATGCTTGAAAAATATTTTTTTCAGTTTTTGTAAAATAAACAATCCAAGAAATGAACAATACATGGCGTTATAGGTTTAGGAGGTTTAGGTATAGGAGTTCTCTTTACTTCTATTCATGGTTGTGCTGTTTTCATAGACAGGCACAGGGCTTTATATTGTGGTGAAAAATGAGCCAACAGTGAGGGACAAATATGTGATTGGAGCAACAAATGCTCAGAAATTGCTTTAGGTTCAGAGGGTTATAGTCAGATGACAATAACTATATTATTACAGTATTAAATGTTGGGGTGCCAATAGCTCACCTGGTTGAGCTGGCGTCCCTGTATCAGGGCTACAGTCCTGATGTGGAGGTCATGAGTTCAAATCCCACTCATGGCCCTTTCTCACACGTTCTCTCCCCATTCTCCTCCCCCACTTTCCGATCCCTCTCTCACTGCACTATCCAATAAGGGCACAAAGGCCCCAAAAAATAGCTTAAAAAAAAATCAAGCATTAAACGCAGTCCAATATGACTATAAAATCTGGAACAATAATCCACAGATATGAAGCAAACAAACCAGGAGTCAATGTACTCAACAGTTCAATTAGGATTCAAACCACACAAGGGCATTGTAGTTGTTTCAGAGAACAACCACCTCAATGATGTTTGTGTTTCATCCACAGGTGGACAAGGCGCTGCTGGGTTCAGTCAAAGACAGCATCGTTCAGGGCTTCCAGTGGGGCACCAGAGAAGGTCCTCTGTGTGATGAACGTAAGTCCTCTCCATCAAACGTTTGGTTTTACTAAATAAACCTCTGCTCTCTGGACTTGTTCATCACATCAGTGTTGCATTACCATGAATGAGTTTGGTTTTTTTTGCTGCCCTCAGCCATCAGGAATGTAAAGTTTAAGATCCTGGACGCCGTCATCGCTCAGGAGCCTCTTCACCGAGGAGGAGGCCAGGTCATCCCCACGGCCAGGAGGGTGGTTTACTCCGCTTTCCTCATGGTGAGATCATCCTCCCCCAGCCCTATTCTTCTCCTCAGCAGCCATCAGCTCCTCCAGACTTCCCTTTCATCCGCACTTTTCTTTAATGTTCCATTATCTTGATTACAGTTTGGAATTTTTGCTGATGTGCCGTCTTTTTAATTGTACTGTGATAACATTCCTCTTCCACTACTTTGGCTTCTTTCCTTGTCTTTTTTGGCTCTGGCCCTGCTGTTCATCATAAATCCGGGGGGTCAGCTGCACATGCGATCGCCTTATTGTTCCTCCAGGCTTTTGTCCTTGCTTTAATGTAAAGTGTCCCTTGTGTCTCAGGCCACTCCGAGGTTGATGGAGCCATATTACTTTGTGGAGGTTCAGGCTCCTGCCGATTGTGTTTCTGCGGTTTACACGGTGCTGGCTCGAAGGAGGTTTGTGTTGCTTTTTCATCCTGATGATTGCATCCATTCTAGACATAAAATATATAAATACAGACATCATGTGTAGTTCCTTGAGTCACCACAAAGCAAATATTCGGAATACAGAAATTCCTGAATTGATTCTGTTTCTGTCACCGACCAGGGGTCACGTCACCCAGGACGCTCCTATTCCAGGCTCTCCTCTCTACACAATTAAAGCTTTCATTCCTGCCATCGACTCCTTCGGCTTCGAGACAGACCTTCGCACACACACACAGGGTCAGGCCTTCGCTCTGTCCGTCTTCCACCACTGGCAGGTAAGATATGAGGACACAAACCTGCTTTCCGGCGAAATCCACAAAATCCAGGTCACTGAAGCATTCAAAGAAGCCCGGGAGACGTCCAGAGATTTATCTGTACGCTGCATTTGCATAAAAAACTTCCAACTACTAAAAATAAAAAGCAAGAGAAGACATTTGCCACATATTTTGGACATTAGCAACAAGTGAACACTTCATTCCTACATACATTAAGAGCATTTGTTGTGACTTTTTTGAAGTGTGCACCTGAGATTAATTTCCAGGTCAGCTCAGCGATAAGTAGTGAAACCAGGAATTAAACTGGTCCCGGGGATGAATTATTCCAGATAAGCCTTTATAAGATAAACCATTATTAATCCCACAGCGGGGAAATTTGCACCGGAGGATCAATAAGCTCTGATAATCAGGCCTTCTATCAGTCTAGGAGAAATTAAGAAAATAGATTTCCTGTTTGTTATTGCTGCGTAGGAATTGTCTTGCACATTTTACCTCACCAACTCAGTTTCTAATTTCGTGTATGATGCATTTTCACTGTTCTGCGTAGTAACATTAACAGCATACTTGTGATTTGGCAAAGCCTTTTCCACATTTTTTTCCCCACATTTCGCCACCAATACTGCTCCAAACACATCACTAATCGGCTTTATCGTTAAGTTGGCTTTATGATTTTACATCTGTCCAAACTAAAATATCCCAGAAATAGAGATGTCACTGATATTATGTATCCTATGTCTGAAAAGGACTTTACATGCTGCAGCTCACATACAAATCCTGTTCTTGGTGATGGTGGCGAAAAGAAGTAATTAGATTATGTGTGGTTACACTTCACTGAAGTTGGTGTTGGTCCAAGTGGCACAAGTGCAACAAGCCTTTTGCTTATAAGAGCTCAAACTCAGTCTGTGGAAAAGTCCAGTGAAAGTTCATCACATACAAACGTAGAAAAGCATTGTGACGACTTATTTTATAGTTTATCTGTCGCTGCTCCAGGTATGTTCTGCATGATAGTGATTCAAAGTACATATTAGCCAGTTGATTCTTTAGCAGTGACTGCGTTCTGAGTTCAGTTTGAAATGGTCCGAGCATCATATGAAGTTTGCAGTTTCAGAGAGATCAGAGTAGGCAGGATTTAGTGATGTTGGGGCTTCAGGCAAACTTATTTTGCCTTATTTTTACCTTTTCCTACCTGAATATTGTTGCTGGCAGTGGTAGAAGAAGTACTCTTATAATAAAAATACTGTCAAAGAAAAAATCCTAGATTTATTTTTCACGTAAAAAGTGGAAAAGAGAGAAAGCAAGGCAGTGTTGATTCTGTTCCTAATTTATTCATCTTAAAAAATCATTTAAAAAAACTGACACAGGGCTCACATATGCAGCCATCTTCTTGTCAGTCTGTGAGTTATAATTTAAATATGAGAGTAAATCTGACATTGAAATGCCTTTTTACAAAGTGATGTTTGGTCTCACAGCTGTCTGAGTGAACTGCAGCCTCTAAGCTGCATTTACAGTCGACGGCAAGCGAGGCGTTCAGGGAACATCAGTAAACTGTAACGTCGATAATCAAGATGGATGTCAGGAGTTTAGCCTCTACAGTTTGGAGGAGTGATACCAAACAACCTCCAGGAACAAAACTGCTGACTAAATTAATAAATATTCTGATAACAATATTTTGCAATCTTTACATCAGTGCAAAACAAGGGTATGCAAATGAGGACAGCTATTCATCAGCATGCAAGGTTGATTAATCGCATGCTGTACCGAAAAAAAAAAGGCTGTGGGGAGGTGCAATCAGTTAGATTAATTCAAACTGCTGCTAACTTGCTGCTAACTCTCACTTGCCTGCATCCTTATTATGACAAGCAGCAGAAAAGGGATTCATTGTGTCTCAACAAACAAATCCAAATTAATCTTTTCATTTATTAAACAAGAATCTGACGTTTGTGTCTGTAAACAGACATTTGGTTTCCTCCTTCGCACCCACAAACGTGCTCACATGCAGAAACGCTGTCGCACGTTTACTTCCTCACATGCACAGACTCGCCTTAAAAACCGTGGCGGTTTGTGCAGCGGAGTGACCAACCTTGTGCACATGTCTGCCACTTCGGCTAAACTGCTTTTGATGCGGAGTCGAGCGGAGTGTTGAGTCATTACATTTTAAGTATAATGTGTCTCTGTCTGCCATGTCTGACATGTGTTTGTGTCTGCACTCTGCAGCGCTGTGTCAGGGAAAATTAACTCCACTTACGGTAGATTAATACGTCACCGCCGAGTCACTAATCTGGAAGAAGGAAGAAAAAAGAGAGAATAGCTTTTCCTCGGTGCAAATATTTATTATGTTTCATCCTCCTAACTTGTGTTTTATCCTCTAGAGGCGGGAAGCAAGCGTCTGGCAAGAAGCTAAACATGAATTATTTATTTACGCGCTTGTTCAAATACTGGAAAAAAAGACGAATTATAGCAATAGTGATCCTTCGGGGACATGAATAATAAATGAAACCCATTGATGACACTCGGTTTTGCAGAAAAACAGATTGTTGGGTTCTATTAACGGCACTCATGTAGTGATGATGTTGGGGTCAAACAGTTTACTGAGATGCTTTTTTTGTAAAAATTGTGTTTGTGTTTGTCTAACACGACAAGCCTTGGTGCACAATTTGGATTTACTACTTGCAAAAGACACTCAAAAGCTCTGTCAGAATGTAAACCAACACAAGCTCCAACACAAAACTATTAAAATGCCTTTTTTTAAGTTCATGTTTTGCACATTTTACAATAAAAATTAACTTTTTAGCAGTGAGCTTGAGATCTCAGCAGAGCCAAAGTAGCACATGGTTAAATCAATGTATTTTCTTAGGAATTGGTTAAAAATATATGTATTGATAGTTGCAAAAAATGCAAAATATTACATCCGATAATCAGCCGATCCATAGTTAACAGTGAGGTTGCAAAAATCTGAATCTGACTGAGGACCAAGTAGGAGTTATTCCATCTGTAATCATCAGGTTTCATCTGCTCGGACATCTCTGATTTACTTTCGCTGTTTTTTTATCATAAACTATTAATATGTACAATGGTATCAGTGAAATTCTAAGTTGGAAAATCAAGTACTTTTCAAGATCTTTTTTTTTCTTTAAGTGTCCATTGACCCACTTCTAGCAAGTTTTTCCACACTGAAATTTGAGGCTGTTTGAGCAACAACATCTGAGGAACTATTAAAGATAAAAGCCTGAAGTTTTCACTGTTATTTCTCATCATTTCATAGATTCAGAATCTGCATTATTAGACAAGTAGATCAAATAGTCTCTGATTGTGGGTGAGTTGAAATCTGAAAAAAAGCTGTCATCTTGAAGCACGCATGAACAAAAAATGTTGTCTTGCAAATGTGAACTAGTGACGAACTTTCTTTTCATTGTTGTGATCAAACATTTCATGTTACAGTCTTTTATATGTATTGTCTTGTATGTGTGTGCCATGTAGCTGCATATGGTTCAGAAAGTATCACCAGCTGACTCTGTTTTTGATCAGTCTGGGCTCAAAGATGGGACTTTTTATGATAGTTTTAAATGTATATCTCAACTCACTACCATCATAGATTAATCAGTATGGACGTGGCTCAAATCAGAGTTGAATAGATGTGATTCTTTTGCTCTTCACATTGTTGGTGTGATGTAAAAATCTAATTTCTTTTCCTGCATTGTGAACGTAGCCTAAGTGGGATTTCCCCCCGCGGGATAAATCCAGAAACCATCGGTGGAAATACGTCATTCAGTTTTGACATTATGTCACTGTGCAGCTTAGTGTGATGATTTATCTCCACACGGCTCGGCCTTACGCTGTTGGAAAAACGCTCCCTTTTCCCAGAACACTCTCCCGGGACGGAGCACCAATCACCCCGTCCGTCTTTCCTCAAATTACTCCATAAAGGGCAGCCAGAGCCTCTACTCAATACAATCAACACTCTGGATCTCCCCGTCTGCTCTGCTCTTTGACAGAAACTATTCCTGCGAGCTGCCTATCGATTGGGCCGCCCCAGATAATAAGAATAACGCAGGAGTCCGTGAACTATGTTGTTTGTCCCATTAAACTCAAGAGGCTGCTTTGTGCCTCCCTCGTTAGTTTGATTATGAGCTGCCAGTATTGGCATGCCGGCAGCTCAGTGTTGAGTTACTGTTGTTAGCAGCTCTCATCCATCTGTTGATTGGGCTTCCGCCATTCCATTGATTATTTTTTTCCCCTTTTCCCTGCAGTTTTAATCTTTCCCTTAGGCTGGGAAAGTCTTATTTAGTCTCCTCTACCCTACTTATTCAGATTCCCAACAAGTCCTGTCTTCCTCTTCTTTCTCTCTCGACTTTTAGTTAATGCACGTCCATGACAATGAGGTCATTTAGCGAAGGTCGAAGCGTGAGCTCCTTAAGATGATGGCTTTAGTGAATCATTTTAAAAGCCTGTGAACACTTCTTTCCTCTAAGTCAACCTGCTAACGCTGCATTGACGCCGCGTTGGTCACCAGATGAAGGAGTGACAGCGCTGGCACGTTGCTCTTTCCATCACGTTGATGGACGCAGGCCTGAGTCAGGAACCAGCGGACAGACTTGCAACTGAATCAGATATTTAGCGAAAGCTCGGAGCCGCTATCGGAAGCGTCCACTCAGCTTGTTAACGCTCAGAGTTTGATGTGTTTCGTGTTGTCAGATTGTTTCCCACGTCCTGCACGGCTGGATGCAAACTGCTCTTCTTACTGTTTCCTCCGTCATGTGGTTGTGCTTTCAGATCGTGCCTGGTGACCCCCTGGACAAGAGTATCGTGATCAGGCCTCTGGAGCCTCAGCCTGCCCCCCATCTAGCCAGAGAGTTTATGATCAAGACCCGAAGGCGCAAGGTGAGCCTCGTTTTTTTTAATAGTCTGGGCGGTTTCCTGTCAAATTCTTCCTCACTGTGGGCTCATCAATATAAAGTCTGTACCTCTATTGAAGCAGCACAACCATGACGAGAAGCAGAGAGAAATGTCCTCAGTGCAGTATGACACAGTTATAATGCTATACATCATCCAAAATAAAAAACTAAAATGACCTTTCTTTGATAACTTATTTTACAAAAATTGAAAAAACCTGGCATCAGTTTAGATTTGCACGTTATGAACACTTCAACAAAAAAAAATGTGACTGTAGATACTGTGACTTGTTCATTACTTACTACTTAAATTTGTTTCTATACAGAATTTGGTTGGATCACACGGTTTATGGCAAATATTATGCATCATTAAATATACAGATTTTGAGGAAGTAGCACAATTTTAACCTTCTATTTGACGAATTTGTGTCCAAAGAATTTAGTTTAAGAAGAATCAGAAAGTTGAAAACCCATCAGCTTGTTCTGTTGTGACACTTTCTGGCTCTGATAAATTGTGTAAATTTTATTTTGTTAAAGCAACGTGCCTTTTAAAACTTTTGAGCTGGAAAAAATCGCAGAAATTTTGTCACGACTGCTTCACGATTGTGTTCAAGGAGTATAGAAGTTGTATTTATTTCATTTTCTTTCTTTTTTTTTTTTAGAATTTACTTGAAGCAAATGGTTTGTTTACGAGAGTAAATGGATATTCTTGAAATATGATCATTTTAAACTAATATTTTCCAAAAGGAACTCAGTGTTACACATGATTTATTTAGGCGAAAGTTGAAAATCCAACATTTTATTTTTTTTACGTTTCTGACTGATGGGGTAATTTTGCTGGTTTTTGTAAAGGAAACATGCCTTTCAAACTCACTGACAGGTTTTGAGCTACACAGAGTTTTATTCATTTTTTGCTTGACTAACATTTCATTTTTTGCTCTGCAGGGTCTGAGCGAAGACGTGAGCATCAGCAAGTTCTTCGACGACCCTATGTTGTTGGAGTTGGCAAAGCAAGACGTGGTGCTTAACTATCCCATGTGAGACTGCAGCATCCACTGCAGAACAAAACTGCTCCCACCTTCATGCAGCAAATCCTACTTTTTAAAGGATATTAAAGGGTAACACAGCAAGAAAATCCCTTTTTATAGATTCAGGTTTCCACAGTGGTTACTCTAGATCTCTATTTTATAATTAGGATTATCCAGTGGAAATCAGTCATCCTCTAAAAACCTACAATAACCTGAATCAAACAAAGGATTGATGAGATCCGTTCTCCCGTTACAGAGCAGCTGTAATTGTCAAACACCGCAGGAGTTTGTTGCGTCTTTTTCTTGTATTTTTATTTTTTTAATATGTACAAATATGACTGTTTTTTGTAGAATGAGAAACTTGGACGTTAAAAATAAGAAGACATCGGATGTTTGAGCTGGTTTATGTCTGAATAAAAGATGTGTGTAATTCAAGTCAGTGCTCTCCAGCGCCACAATCCCTCTGCATGGCTTTTACTGGTGAGAGTTGACGTATAGATGCGACTGGTGGGAATCTTGGCTGTGGCGAATTCTGTGTCTGTGGGTTTGACAGATGTGTGAAGTTGGACATTTGATGGTTTGAGTGATTGACGTGTCTCTCTGGGACTCTGTGTGGGCGGTGACTGATGGACAGGCTGTGGGATGGTTGGAGGCAGAAACAAAGGTTAGCGTCCCATGGCCGAAGAAAGGGGCAAGAAGGAGAAGGGATGCAGCGAATTGAAGAAGACAGACGTCAATAAATTTAATTCGTTTTTTTTTTGAGTCAGTGCAGAAAACTTTGGCGAATCCTGGAGGCTAAAGGCAACGACCCTGATGTCATATGTTCAGATTGGGGAGTAGCTCAGTGAAGACCGAATCCACGTACAGTAGTTTATGGAGGAGAATAATCAGAAAGCAAATTAGTGTGAAGCTCATAATAAATTCAGTGTAATCACAGTAAATATAAGTCAATCTAAAATTGTGACTGGCTGACAAGACATCTTCCAACAACTGGACTCAGTTGTAGCAGCGATTGAGATTTTTAAATATAGTTGTGACAATAACATTTAATTACTAAATACTCCATGTTACAAAGTGCTTCCCAGGGCAGCAAAACAAAACTGGAGGAATAAAATGATCAGAATTTAAGATAAAACAATTAAAAACTTGGTGGCAAAGTTGATTCAAGTGTTGCACACAAACAAATGCAAATATCCCTAAACTCTATAAAACAGGCTGAGGCTAAGAGTTTAAATCTCAGATAAAAAAACACAACAAAACTGACAATATCATCTTACAGTTTAATTAATATCCTGTTTATTTGTGGGTGGTGGTGATGGAGGGGAACAGAAACATGTGACAGGGCTGATTGGTTGTAATAAAAAACCTGCAGTAAACTTAAACCAATCAGCTAAAACGGTAAAACCTCTAAATGAAGTGAACGCCATTGATTATCTTGTTACAGAGGCTCCTGTCAGTTGATGCGATTTAGGAGGCCGCAAGTGAAGAGTCAGGTGTTGACGCTGATGTGTTGGAAGCTGGAAAAATTGGAAACGTATGAGACTTTAGAGGAACAAGTGTCGTGGTGTTACTGGCATGTAGTGGACGACCAGTGAACCAGTGTTCTGACTCTCTAGATGTAGATGATGGGTGTAAGCGAGCCACTGGCCGCTCGTTTCAGACAGCATTGTCCTCCTCTTGTACTATATACATACTACCAACATAATACACTGAAAACTTTTGCAGAGTACATAAAAGAGAAGAACCCTTTAGGAAATTCAAGTTCCAGGTTCACTTCAGCACCATAGATTAACACTGGCATGAGAATAATATCCACAATATATATAAATAAATGAGTGCAGTCAATAAAATGCCAGCAACTGTGTAAAATAGTAATGTCTGTATTAGGTGATGATGATGAGGCCTTCCTCCACTATCACCTCTGCCCTATCTTGTCTCCCCCGCCCCCTCCCTTCATGGCACAGGAAACAAAACAGTGTTCAAGTCTGTTTGGTCCTCTGGAGCAGCAGCGTGTCTCTGAATATGCTTCTCTGGTTGTTGATGACATGATGCAGAGGATCACTGGTGTTGTCCAGATTCTTCAGTGAGGTCTTTTCCTCCACTGTCACCAGGGAGTCCAGCTTTATGCCGACCACAGAGCCGGCCCTCTTGATCAGCTTGTCCAGCCTGGTGGAGTCCCTCTTTGATGTACTGCCCCCCCCAGCATACCAGAGCATTAAACAGGACTCTGGCTATTATCAACTGGTAAAACATCCACAGCAGTTTCCTCAGAAAGTACATTCTGTCTCAGCCCTTCTTGTACAGGGGGTCAGTGTTGTTGGACCGGTCCAACTTGTCATCCAGCATCAGCTGAGGTACCTGTAGCCACCCTCAACTTCAACCCCCTCAGTTTGGACTGGTTGGAGGCGTGGTCTTTGCTTTTAAAGTCTATGACCAGCTGTTTGGTTTTTGAGGTGTTGAGCTGAAGGTGGCTCGTGTGGCACCAGGTGACCAGACTCCTGTAGTCCTCCTCCTGGTCTCCTCTAATTCAGTCTTTGATTGTGCAGTAAAGCAGCGCTGCATTTGTTGTTGTTGTTGTTGTTGTTGGATTATCCAATTGAATGATGGTGGTATGTGTATGAAGTTGTGTAACTGCAAACCCAGTCAAAGTTCCGACGTTGGCCCGTCTACAGAAGCAAACACCTACAATGGGTACATGAGCATCAGAACTGAACTTTTAATCAACAGAAGCAAGAGATCTGGTCTGGTTCTTCTACATCATGAGGTCTTGATCCTCTGGGAAATGTTCTGTTGGGAAACCTTTGGTCTTGCATACATGTGGATGTTACTTTGACACTAAAAATTGCTGCAGACGACGTACACCCCTCCATGGCAGCAGTGTTCCCTGGTAGATTCTTTCAGCAGAATAATGTTCAAGAATGATTCGCAGAACAAGGCGACGAGTTCAGGGTGCTGACTTGACAACTTTGCAACTGTCACAAAGTTTCCTTTAAGTTCATTTTGCAGGTTTTGTTGGTAACAGTTGTGATATTTCCAAGTTGTTTCTGTTCTGTTCCTGTCCAAAAACACCAAAATGAAAGCATGAAGCAGTACTTTCAACTTGGCATCTTTGGTTTTGTTTAAAGTTACACAATGAATCTTCAGGTGATGCCTCAGCCAAAGTGTTTTCAGCGGATGTGGATTGTGCTGCAGGAGCGGATCTGTTAAACTTTACCTGACGTGATTTCAAGCTGACCGTTTCCTGCTGAAAGATGAAGCTTCCAGGGCTGCAGGGCGTTTAAGGGTTTCAACCTGAACTGCTACGGTCCACACTGAGTGGATAATCAGTGTAAAGAGGAGCGTTTAACTGCACTTCAGGACGGATTGATGTGTGAGTCAGTCTTGTCGCACCTTCAGAAGACTTTGGTGTCCGATCAGCTCAGTCCTTCATCACTCAGCTCTGACAACAGCTCTGGAGGTGGTGGAGATGGGGAAGGTTAGCGCGGGAACACCGAGAGTCCAAAGTGGCCTGAGCTACTTTTGACATTTGGACTGAATGTCAATCCTGTCCAGCAAGACGACAGCGTGCACAAAAGTGGTGGGGGGATGCTCTGCCCTTTTCAAACGCTCGGGGGAAAGCGAAATGAAGAAAAGGAGGATTTTTTTGTTTGTTTTTGAAAAAGAAGGGACTTTTTTTTCCCCCACAAAGGTATTGACATGCAGGTGCTTTGAGGGGTTTCGTATCTTGTCACCTCCGCCATGAAGGCATCTGCTCTGACAGAATGTGATCGGCTCTGCACATGTGTTAAGCAGGCGTGCGCTCAGACACGGTCCCATCACTCCTCGCCATCGCTGGCGTGAGTCGAGATCGTGCTTGGCCTCGGGCGGCGAGACGGATGGCAGCAGCAGCTCTTGCCGGTCTGAACACACTGAACCCCGGAGCTCTCGTTCCAATCTGTGGTCCCTGTGCTAAATATAGGCGGGAGCCGGCCGGGGGCTCCCTCCTCCTCAAAGTCAGGCCTTTTTCCTTTTGCCTTTGCAGCTCCATCTGCTCTAAAGCACCTCATCGCTCACCTTTAGCCCGCCATGTGTCCGTCCTCTGCACTTCCTCATCTCGTCCCTCTGCAGCGACACACCTCTCCGGCTCTGCCTTGTGTCGATGACTCAATCACACTTGTCTCTTCCTGCTAACATCATGAGCAAATCTTTTTTATATTTTTATTCTCTCCCCCCACCCTCCTTGTGGAACATCCAGCCCAAAGTGAGCGGCGATGGACAGCGGAGAGTCCAGTCAGGCTGTTTTCACATGAACAATCTGCTTATAGCAAAGACATAGCCACAGATTCTTAATGAAGATGATGAAGGCTGAGTCAGCCTCCAAACAATGGCATGACAACAACAGCAATGGTGAGGCACAAAACGATTACAAAGAAGGCTAAAAACATCCACAAAACAAGACACAAAGGAAGGCGCAAACTGGAAAAAGAACTGAAAACAGCCACAAAACAACCACAGAAGGAAGTTTGACGGCATTTTGTGTCGCTTTAAATCCTTTTTCAGACATAAATATGTAATATTAGCGGCTTCATCAATCTGTTAAAGTGAATAATATATAATATCATTCATAATAATGCAAAAGCTAACAAAAGTCCAAGCTAATATCAGCGTATCAAACTGTCCAAGTAACTAGCAGCCTAGATTGTTTCAGATTTCCACAACGGTAAAACTAAAAACTCAACCTGAGGGCTGAGATGTAGAGACACTCGGAGACACTCGCCTCAATCCTGATGCTGCAGGCATTTGATCATCTCAGAGGAAAAAGTCCTACACAGCTGGAAGAATAACCTAAACTTCAACTCTGTGTGTGACGGTTCAAGTGTTTGAGGTGGAGAAAAATACATGTGCAACTTTCTGTATGTTAATCTGAACATCTCACTCTCTGTAGAAACACTCATATGGATCCTGCAGCAATCTGAGGCTGCAGGTATTTAATCAACTTAGAGGAAATGGTTCTAAACATCTGGAAGCAACAAACTAAACTGCAGCTCTTAGTGACGGACTGATTTAAAGAAGTAGGCCTCCACAGTGTGACCTTCTGCTGGACCCTGACCTGGACTGATCTGCTGTCAG